AGATCCTGCTGTCCCCACATTGTACATGGGACACTGAGGCTCTGCCTAGTGACTTGCCCAGAGCAGCCCAGAGTGGTTGGACTGGGTCTGGGTCCAGGACTGCGCCCAGTGGTCCTGGGATGGGGGAGGAGTCAGAGATTCGGGGGTGGACATCAGATCTCCAACTACAGAGTGAGAGGGGGCGGGCTGCATGGGATCAGAGCATCACCTGTCTCTAGGCTGGTGGTCACGGACCCACTGACCCACAGGGAGCAGCGTCCACTCGCGGCCAGACCTCTGGCTGGGTGTCGGTGTCTGCTGCTGGGAAGTTTCTCTCGCATCACATCAAAGCTTCCACGCAGTACCTGAATTGAGGCTTCCCACCTCCCTGCCCGGAACCGGCACCCTCGCGGCACATCCGCACTTCGCAGGGCAGAAGGCAAGTGTGACCAGCCTCGGACCTACCCGCTGTGAAGACTCCCCGCCCAGGAGGGCCTGTGGGCGGGGCCAGGGCGTGACGTCACGGTCCCGGGCCAATGAAGTCGCGCAGCCCCAGGGCACGATTGCGCAACAAAGAGAACCCAGAACTTGAAAGGATTCCCCGGGCTCGGGCTGTGCCCGCTATCCCTGCGCTGGCCTGCGCCCGGAGGTTGCGCTCCGCCCGGCGGCTGCCCATGGGCCCTCGCGGGCCCCGGGCGGGATCAGCGCGAGTCCCCGCCTCACTGGCACGCCCCCCGCCACCAGGCCCGCCCCCGCCTCCCGGGTCCGGGCCACCAGCCCCTATCTCCGCCCTGAACCCGCGCCACCCGCCGCGGTCGCCAAGGGACACCCCACCACCACGTCCTGTTCAGCACACGGGGCGCGTTCGGGCGACGGCCAGGGGAGAGAACTCTGGCGGACCGCGTCCCTGGGGCCCCCGGGCTGCGCTGGGCAAGGGCAGGCCGGGACCCCAGTCCGCCACCCCGCTCCCCTGGGGCGGCGCTGCAGGGCCTGGAGGCGGGAGGGACAGAGGCAGGACCGACCCCGAGGAAGTTGACCCGAAGGTCCCCAAGTTGGGGGCTTTTGCAGCCCCAGGCGGAGCCCGCGCCCTCGGACTGCCCCATCCCGCCCGGCCCTCCC